CCATCTGTAAAATAAGATAATAACAGTACCTTCCTTTTATAGTTGTGCCAAGCACATTCACTAAGTATTAGCTCTTTTTATCATTGTTATCTCTAGAAGATTCTGTAGTCCATTTTACATCAGCAGTCTGCAACCAGCACTACGCCTGTCTGTTATCTCGTGCCCCATGCACTTGCCTTGTGCTTAGAATCCTGAACAAGGGCACCACTTTGAGGAAAATATTTTTGGACATGGAGACAAAGGAATTACCCCCTATGTAAAATGTGCCCTGGGGATTGGTCTGGTTCCCTGGGCTCATGCTCCTGTCCACTTCCTCCCAAAGCACCGACAATTTCCTTGTATCAGGGAAGACAATAAGTGCAAGATAGTCTTCCAAACACAGTTCAGCCAATTTCAGTCCATCCTAACACTCCAACCAATTTCAAAGGACTAACGCCCAGCATTTGATATGACCTCCTAGACAGGAGTCATTTTTTTATGTACAATACCACAACATTTTCTCTCAAACTAGTCTCGTATGAACTTCTTGTCAGGGTGGTATTACTCTGCTTGCAGCAACACCAACTTCAAGACAATGACAAGTAATGTGTGTGAGATATTATCACCACTATGTACTAAGCATCTGGAACAGACAGGCAAATACTCTAAAACCTGGAAGTCAGAATTCTGCGAGCCTGAGGTAGACTCATTCTAAAAGTTCTTCAACCTGAAAACATTGTGGCCAATCAGCTCCAGTTCCAACCAACAGAGGCAACAATGGGCAAAGTAGTGGATAACTGAGATTTTGTGACTGCCCCAGTGGCCCTGAGAAGCCTATAATATTGAGAAATCTGCAACCTTAATTTGGATAACTGGAAGATCCACCCAAGTACTTTTGCACCACCCCAGATGTCCTTCATGGTCCATTCAAAGCATTAAATGTGGTCTTACGGTGGCCCGGCCCCGTGGCTTAGCAGTTGGGTGCGCGCGCTCCGCTACTGGCGGCCCGGGTTCGGATCCCGGGAGCGCACGGACGCGCCACTTCTCCGGCCATGCTGAGGCCGCGCCCCACATGCAGTGACTGGAAGGATGTGCAACTATGACATACAACTATCTACTGGGGCTTTGGGGGGGGGAAGGGGAGGAGGATTGGCAATAGATGTTGGCTCAGAGCTGGTCTTCCTCAGCAAAAAGAGGAAGATTGGCACAATGTTAGCTCAGGGCTGATCTTCCTCACACACACACAAAAAAAGTGGTCTTATGGGAACTCCCAATTTATGGCCCCATTCTAGAAGAAGCTGTCAGGGCCCTTCATATCTGTTTACCACAAAAAAACACATGGAGTGTAGTATTAACTGGGTAGTTGGAGAACTTCTACTATACCATCTACCAACAAAATGATGATTCATCTACCTTGCCACAGTAGAATTTGCTTATAAAGAGCTCATTGCATCCCTCCAGCCACAACATGCCCTTTCATAGTAGCTGTGGCATGATTCTTACCTACCCCCTACCACCTTTCACCCCAGGTGGCTTCCAAAACTTGGCAGCTTGGGGATGCTATGGGTTACCAAAAATATCTTGCAGCTTGCCAGAAACTGATGTGAGGAGTATGCCAACTGGTGCTTGATTCAGGCAGAAGGTATTTAAGTGAGTGATACTGTCCAGCACACCTCCAAGCACATGGTAACCATCCATATGGGAAGCTGAGAGCCTACTACTTGGAAACTGAGATAATAGACAACATCATCTGGCTGTACCCTTAAGAACAACCAGTCTGAGGTTTCAGGACCCAATAAAGAGCTCCCACTGTCACCTGCACCCAGACCAAGAATTACTTGCAGTCCAGGTCCCATTGCCCACTAGGAATATGCTCTTGCTCTTTCTTCTCAGTCTACATCTACTTGGCCATGGACATTCTGCCACCCCCTACCTTGCCCAAAGTCAAACTACCAAATGCAAATGACTCTGCTTCCAGGAACCAGCCCCTCATTTCTGTAACCTGTGATGAAGTACAAATCAGCCCCCTGGTTCAGTCCAGGCTTCCAGAACGCTATACTCTACCACCTCTCCAAGTCCTCAGCTGTCGAGAGAAGGGATTCAAACAGTGCCCCACTCTGGTGGTGTCATTATCTCAGACAGAGAATGTCAAAGGAGATTTCCATTGAAGTGCAAAAGGAAGGGAGGAGGGTCAGAGATGATGAATGAGTGGGGCCAAGCCAGAAAGAAGGGGAAAAGCAGGAGCTGGGGAAGAACTCCAGAGCAGAAGTGGCATCCCCACCTTCCACCAGAGGTGAGTCAGTGATCTCAACAAATGATTTCCAGAGAGAATGGCAAACTTTGATCCAGTTCCTGACAAGCTTAGGATTCTGAGATGCAAGCCAAATGTAGCCTACTTAAGCAGAACATGAATTTATTATAAGAACATTGGTGGGATTACGTAAATCTAAAAAGCTTCTGCACAGCAAAGGAACCATCAACAAAATGAAAAGGCAACCTACGGAATGGGAGAAAATATTTGCAAACCTTATATTTGATAAAGGGTTAATATCCAGAATGTAGAAGGAACTCCTATAACTCAATCGCAAAAAAAATCTGATTAAAAAATGGGCAGAAGATCTGAATAGACACTTCTCCGAAGAAGACACACAAATGGCCAACAGGTCTAAGATGCTTAACATCAGGAATCATCAGGGAAATGCAAATTAAAACCACAATGAGATACCACCTCACACTTGTTAAAGTGGCTGTTATCAAAAATACAAAAGATAACAAGTATTGGTGAGGATGTGGAGAAAAGGGAAGCCTTGTACACTGTTGGTGGGAATGTAAATTGGTACAGCCACTATGGAAAACAGTATAGAGGTTCCTCAAAAAGTTAAAAATAGAACTACCATAAGATCCAGCAGTCCCATTTCTGGGTATTGAAATCATGATCTCAAAGAGAGATCTGCACTCCCATATTCATTGCAGCATTACTCACAATAGCCAAGACATGGAAGCAACATAAATGTCCATCAACACGTGAATGGATAAAGAAAATGTGGTATATACATACAACAGAATATTTTTCAGCCTTAAAAAAGAAGGAAATTCTGCTATTTGCAACAACATGGATGAAACCTGGAAGACATTATGCCAAGTGAAATAAGCCACAGAAGGACAAATACTACATGATACGACTTATATGAAGAATCTAAAATAATCAAATTCATAGAAGCAGAGAATAGAATGGTGGCTGCCAGGGGCTGGCAGGAGGGGAAAATGGGGAGGTAGTAAAGGGTACAAAGTTTCAGTTATACAAGATGAATAAGTCCTAGAGATCTAATGTACAGCATAAAGCCTATAGTTAACAATATTGTATTGTATCTGTAAAAATATGCTAAAAGGGTAGACCTTATGTTAAATGTTCTTATCACAAAATAATAATAATAAATAAAGAAGAAAGGAGGAAACTTTTGGAGGGGATGGATATGTTTATGGCATAGATTGTGGTGATGGTTTCACATGTGTATACTTATCTCAAGACTCATTAAGTTGTAAATATTAAATATGTATAACCTTTTGTATGTCAATTATAAATGAAGTAGTTTTTATAACAAAGAATATTAGGAAGCACATAAAAGCTGTAGAAAGAATAGAGAACCAAGCTTGGCAGATAGTAACCAGAAGCAATGTTCAAAATCATGCTGCAGACCTGGTCGGGCATGGACTACTGCATTCAGTGCTGTGGTGGGCACTGCTTGGCACCAAGGACACTGGGCCCTGGATACTGCTGCTAGAAACAAGATGCAGCTTGACTGCTGCAACTTCCCATCAATAGAAAAAGACTTTACATGGACCCTGCTTCTTTGCAGCCTCATCTTTGCTTCAAAATCTGAAGCAGACATAATTGACCTAGCCAAAACTCTTGGCCCATGCCCTAGCTGCAAGAGAGGCTGGGTATGGTAGTCTGTTCCGGCTGCTATAACAAAATACCAGAGACTGGGTGGCTTATAAACAACAGAAGTTTATTTCTCACAGTTCTGGAGGCTGGAAGTCCAAGATGAGGGTGCCAGCATTGTCAGGTGAGGGCCCTCTTCCAGGTTGCAGACTTCTCATTGTATCCTCACATGGCAGAAGGGGCAAGGGAGCTCTCAGGCCTCTTTTATAAGGGCACTAATTTGATTCCATTCCATAAGGGCAGAGCCCTCATGACCTAATCACTTCCCAAAGGCCCCACATCCAAATACTATCACCTTGGGCATTAAGTTTTCAATGTATGAATTTTAGGGGGACAGAAACATTCAGACCACAGCACTGGGTAAGGAAGATCTGGTCTTTTCAGCCTCTATAGTGATATATAGGTTTTTGCATCAGAGGGGGATTCTCAAATCTCCATAAGAATGCTAGGTCTACACTATACTACTCTACCCTACCCTACCCTACCCTATCGTACCTTACCCTACACTACCTTTCTAGCCCCATCTCCTGTCCCTCTCCACTTTACCCTGTCCACTTTGCTAATCAGGCTCCAAATCAATAGCAAGCTCTCTGAGACCTCTCTATTGCTTCTAACACACTTGCTATCCCGCTGCCTGAAATGCTCTTCCTGATACTATGTCCCACACACTCCTTCTTATCCTCCAAAGACTTAGATCAAGCATAATTTCCCGTTAGACCAATTGAAGCTCTGCAAATATGCCGTTCCCAGGAAAGGAGTGTCCATCCAGATAAGAGGCCTTTTTCACCTGCACTAACCCTAAGTACCTGTGAATATCCTGATTCCAGCAGGAGGCCTCTCAAAACCCGGGAGTCAGGGAGGAGCAAGAGAGTGGTGAGGGAGGTCTTGTGACCACTGGGTTCTCCCTCCCTCCCCTCTGTCATAGGCATTGTGATTTGACTCCCGAGATCCTGAGAATCAGATGTGAGTGGCTAGGAGAGATCCCTGCCGTGTGCCTGGTTAGCATGGAGACCAGAGATTCAAAAAATCAAATGGCTCCATTTGCTAAGTACTCAGAGCTCGTCTGTTCTCCTTTCAGACCAGAGAGAACTGGTGCCCACTAGGCTTCCCCCTATTATCTCAGAAGATGGGAATTATTCCGTGCACCAGAATAGCCACACAAGGTACCACGAAGCTGTACGGAAGGTGTTACTAAAGACATGTAAGTATCTTGGAGTGGGCACCATGCCAGGGGCAGAACAGTTATGTCTGAGTTCCTGAAGAATGGATGGGATGTGGTGGAGCATGGTTATAGGGCAGGGGGAAAAAAGAGCCAAGAAGAGAGATGAGAAGAGGGAGAAAGTAGACTTGAATGGTGGGGTGAGCAAGCTAAAATAAAAATTGAATCAGACTTGGAAGCAGAAGATCCAAGTTGAGTCCTGGTTCTGCCTCTTTTAAGTGTCTCACCTTGGGTGGTCACATATCCTTTATTAACCTGCTGCCTCATTCATTTAAAAACAAAACAAAATGAAAATAAACAGAAAATGCCCGCTCTACCAATCTTATAGAATTCTTGTGAGGATCAAAACAAAAATGAGGGCCGGCCCCGTGGCTTGGCGGTTAAGTGCTCGTGCTCCGCTGCTGGCTGCCCGGGTTCGTT